CAGAGGAGAGGAGAGGAGAGGAGAGGAGAGGAGAGGAGGTGGCCACACCGCCATGTAGCTTAAGTTTTCCCACTGCTTGTTGGCACTTGCTGAAAACAGAGACACTTAGGGTCTTCCAAGTCAGAACGGTGACCATGTTCCAGACGAGATTTATTTCTAACTAGCAAAATGTGCCTCATCAAAAGCGGGCGGGGGGGTGTAAAAAAGAGAGAAGGAATGTGGCCCTAGAAATAAGGTTGAAGGTCTAGAAGAGGGATGAAGGTGACAAAGACACATATCCTGGAAGAAACTGGGTAGTTTATGTTTCCCCTTGTCAACAAGTATGTCACTGGGGATATGTTGAGTTATACAGATCCCACATTCAGAAGGATATTGGCAAAAGTGGAGATGTCCAGAGAGCCATAGAAACACCGATGGGTCTGGAGGCAGTCTGTGAGGACAGATGGAAGGAAGTAGATGTGCTTCACCTGGAAAACCCTGATGACCAGCTCATATGATAAACATTTCCAAACCACAAACCACAACAGTTCAGCTTCCTTCCTTCTGAGGAGGAACCTGCCACTATGTTCTCGACAAAACCTGTCAGAAAGCCTTCATTTCCCCAAAAAGTGTCTCTGAAGGTTCCACCTGAAAGCAGGTTCTGCTTTTTTTCCTTTTTCCTCTTCTTGCAGGCAATACGGGGGAGCTTTTCTCATCTTGAACTTCTCTTCTTATTTACAGAGCAGAGAGAGAGAGAGAGAGTGAGTTGGATAATGCAGGGTGAGTAGTAACCTGAAAAGAGATTTGCGGTAGGAGCCAAAATGGAAGGAACTGTGAAAATGCTCATGTTTTCCCTCTGAGGGTTGCTTAGTCAAGCGTTGAGGTTCCACTAAGCAAGAACTTTGTTGCTGGAAAGGAAGAACTTCAGCTTAACCATTAATAAATACGGAGGGTACGAGCGTAAGAAGACCAGGGCTCCGCTGGTCCACCTTTCTGTATCAGATGGTGGCCAACCAGGTCATCCAGGAAACAAGAATATAAGCAGAAGGGTGACTGCCTCTTCTGCTGTTGCTCCCCAGCAGGTGCTACTTTCTGGGGGAAGCTGCCCAGGATTCAGGAGGTATGAAATGGATAGCTACTGAAAGCCCAATCCTCCATAAACCTCCTGGTCCACTTCGTCTGAACAAGTGGCCAACACCACAGTTTAGCTAAGCTGTCTGGAACCCACCAGCATTAGACCAAGAAGGATTTCCTTCTGCTGGTCCAGATTCTCCCAACAGATCAGCCTGACCCCGAATGTAACTAGAAGGGGAAAAAGTTCTCAGGGCCAGGACCCATTCTGGATATTTCTGATAACCAAACAGCATTAACTGGCCAGGATGTAAATTAAACGTGTACGAGGTGCGAAGCTCTGCATTGCTGCCATAGACCTTCAGCCTTAAACATAACCTGAGATACAGTTAGGGCTCCTGTTAAAATATGAAAAGTCCTTAATAGAAACCAGAGTATTGAGTAAATTAAACATTTTCCTGCGAGGGCTTCTTTCTTCCCTGTTTGTCACCCAACTGAAAAAGAGCCGAAGAATGTGAGCAAAGCCAGCATGTTTTGGTGGCATTACAGATGGTTTTCAGAAAAGGGTTTGCCAGGGGGTGGTTCCAGACAGAATGCCCAGAACGGAAGTCTGCCTGCCAAGGTCTGAAGTGGACAAGGCAGAAGCTGAGGCCTTGTGCCAGCTGATAATGAAAAATGTCTCAGAGTAAGTGGCCTTTATACCCTCCTGACAACAGACTCTCTCTGACAACAGCTTTCTCTTCCCTCTGATTAGTTCCTTCCAACCTCAGTGGCCATGCCTCTTCCACCTCCTTCTTCCTCCTGGGTCTTCCCGGACTAGAGAGCGTCCAGGCCTGGCTGTCCATTCCCTTCTGCCTCATCTACACCGTGGCTCTCTTGGGCAATGCCACACTGCTCTGGGTCATCTGGACAGAATCCAGCCTGCACCAGCCCATGTACCTCTTCCTCTCCATCCTGGCACTGACCGACATGGCCATGCCCACCTGTATCCTTCCCAAGATGCTTGGCATCTTCTGGACCAGTGCCCAAGAGATCACCTTTGCTGCCTGCCTGGTGCAGATGTTCGTGGTCCACGCCCTCTGTGTTGTGGAATCTGGGACACTCACCGCCATGGCATATGACCGATATGTGGCCATCTGCTACCCACTCAGCTACACAACCCTGCTGACAACAAAGACTGTGGTCAGGCTCGGAGCAGCCATCCTTATCCGAGCCTTTGTAAGCATCTTGCCCGTTCCTCTTCTTGTGCGGAGGCTGCCATTTTGTCACTCCCGACACATTTCTCATACTTATTGCGAGCATATGGCTCTAGTAAAACTAGCATGTGGGAACACTACTCCCAACAATTTTTATGGGCTGATTCTGTCCCTTCTCATTGTTGGTGGAGACCTGACCTTTATCTTCATCTCCTATGGGCTGATCTTACAAGCTGTATTCCATCTGCCTTCAGTGGAGGCTCGTCACAAAGCCCTGGGCACTTGTGGGGCCCACGTAGGTGTCATCTTCATTTTCTACACACCTGGCCTCTTCTCCTTCCTCACCCATCGCTTTGGGCATAGCATCCCCCACAGTGTCCACATCTTCCTGGCCAACTTTTACTTGCTAGTCCCTTCCATGCTCAACCCTATTGTCTATGGCATCAAAACAAAGGAGATCCGTGGGCGGGTGCTGATGGCTATGGGCTTGGGAAATAGCAAACTGTAGGCCCAAGGCACAGTTGCCAGCTTATATCCTGTACTAGTGCTGTGTGAAATTGTCAGCTTTGGTTGTTTTGATCTATCTATTCAGTGTGGATGCAAATAAATTATCCTGGGTGGAATAGTGAACTATTGCTCTATATTCGAAAATCTCTTAATGGATTGTGATTGAACTAAGCCATGAGCTCATCCCTTGAGCCTCCATTGCTCCTCCAAACCCTTCATCAGATAGCAAAATGGTTAATTAACTTCCTCTTCTGTCAGCAGCACTTCTTGAGTTCCAGATACCTGGAACATTCACCAGATGACTTTCATCATATTAACCATTTCCACGTGCAACCAACTGTTATGATTCATGGCCCGCTCGGATGTTCTCCTTGACCTCTCTCAAGAAGTCTCCTTGTTGGCACTTTATCCTTTGGCTTTCCCTCTGAAGCCTCCAGTGCAGCTTCTCCCCTGGCAGCAGTGGTGGCTTGACTCAGTAAACGAGGTGTCAGAATCCTCTCAATTGATCACTTGCCCTGCTAGTTCGCTTGCTTCGTTTCTGCCATTACAGAGAGAGGGAGGAAGGGGGAAAGGTTGGGAGGTTAACCGCTAGGCGCAGATGGACTGTTATCTGGATCTCAGGAATGCCCAAGGCCGTGCCAGCGTGAGACCCGGAGAGCGTCTTCGACCTGCTGAAGAGAGACTCAAAGACAGAGGGAGGGGAAATAGGAGTGGGGTAAAACTAAGTTTCAGCGCGCGCGGGACTCAGTTTCAGCTATGCTTTTAGAGCCATGCACTACTTTCCAATAAATGAACTTTCCTTTGAACCTGCATTGCTTTCAATGAGAGTTGCTTTCGTTGGGAACTGAGTTCCGTGGTTCTTACATATAGCTGGAACTCCCCTTTTGGATTTTGCCTGGAACAAAAGTTCACTGAGGAAAGTGTCGGATTTGCATGGAGAGGAGTTGTGTGAGCTAGAGATGGCAGATGAAACTACTGAGGCGGAGGTTGGAGCCATTAGCGGCATAGGGGGTGATCCAACATCTGAATCGGAAATGGAGACGCCAAAGCCAGTGGCAAAACTGGCAGTGAGACCAAAAGGACAGCGGTTGGGCAGGCGGTGGACTCGATCCCAAGAGTCCAGGAAATTACAGGAATTGGATATTGTCTCGTCCTCCAAAAAGACCCCCAAGCCGAAGTGGTCGATGGGAATCAGTGACGGAGTAGGGGAGGCTCAAGATCTCACAGGGAAGAGAGAGCCTGGGGTCACACAAGGAGTCACTGTTTCTCCTCTTGCCTGGGAAGACTCTCCCTCTGTGTTGCTCAGGTCTCCCCTCTCCAGGCCTGGCCTCCATCCCCTCTCATCGATACCCCCCGTGCTTTCTGGGTAAATGAGAACAGCTGGAGGTGAGCTTCTGTGCAAGCTTGCCAGCGACCCATACGAGCTTCAGCAACCAACTCCAATGATCCCTGCCTGCCTCTGAATCCCACAGGAAGAGAGAAACAACGTAGGTCCAACCAAGCCTGCGGTGCTGCCCTTTCCCATTTTGTGTTCTCCTCTGCAAAAAGAGTGGGAATTGCTAAGCCCAGGACAACTAGCAGCATTGCTATGATACAGAAGCCGGGTTATACTGCCTTTGATTTCACAAAGAGTGAACTGGGCGTCTCATGACCCTGCAGTCAATGATAATCACCCACCATTAAGTCATAAGCCCCTCTTTTCCCTCAGAAAGGCTTGAGGAAGAAATTCCTGGTGGGAGGAAGGGTGGACCTTAGGTGGAGGACAAACTGGGCATGTCCCAGTGCTGCACTCCAGTTACTTTTATTTGGTGGTAACCTATATAAGACAGTCAATACAATGTCTCCCCCCCCCCCCCCCCCGTAAAATCTGGAAAGATCCCCCAGCAAATCAGGTTCTTCTCTCACTGTCTGCCGTAACAGTTCCCAGCTAGTAAAATACGGATAAGTCTA